GTCTGGTCTTGTTCTCTCTCAAGAAAGAGCTTCAGCCCTGGTGTGCTGCCCATAGTCAGCTTGTGTCTTACTCTCAGTGCAAGCTGAATCCAGTCGGTGTTACCCTGTGATCTTAATGTCCCATACAGAGATTTGTTTTATTTTCTTTTTTCTTTTTTCTCAGTGTGCTTACTGCTTCAAAGGACTCAGTCTATTGAGTGCATTAGAGCCCACTGGGCTAGAGGGAAATATGGAAGACTGACAATGTGGTCTATTCAAAATGGCCTTACATCTGACACCAGCTATTGCCTTTGGGTCAAATTTATGTTTCTTGAATCACTCTTCTATTGGTTAGCCTGACCCCACCACCTCCACTGGTTTGACAAGCCCATCTGAATGAGAGCGTTGCTATAGCTCAGTTCTTAATTTTAGATTCCTGCTACATAAAGAAAATGTTTTAATAATTAGAGTCGGTCTCAAGAGGAATGACGTAGCTCAAGAAAAAATAACCTCCTTCCAAAGGAAATATGCACACAGAGGCTCAACACCCATGTGAAGGATGTGAGGGAAATAGTTCCCTATGAAGGAAGGGCAGGAGTGTAGGCTAAGTCTCCAATAAGGTTCTTCTCATCTATAATGTTTTATGGGTCTCTGGGCAATTCTGCCACAACGCTAGTACCCCTGACAGGGTAAGTAAGATGTCTATGAGCAGCAAGAGTGAGAAGATCGAACAAATGCACACAGGTGCACACACAGGCTCATGGAACCCCTATATAATGCCCTTTTGTCAAGAACCGGTTTGGTTATTTCTTTAGTTTTCTCTTAGGGATTATTTAACACTGTTAAAAGATGTTCAGCAGCCTTTAGTACACCCAGTAACTTAAACATAGAAGGTACTAAATATGTGAGTAAGTGAACCTGGAAGATTGCCACTTTCCATTCATTTACTACCTTACACTACAAGGTATCTTGTTAAAAGTTCATTTGCCTTGCCTTTTCAAATGGAGGGCAGGGCTCATGGCTAACCTTTTCTTCCTTGAGACTCTCAGGGCTTCCAGCTTTTTGCCCAGCCTCAGAAGATACTCAGTTAATGATTGAAGTCCACCGTTTCATCCACGACAGGCTGTAATACTCACTGTGCTAGATCTAAAATGGCTCTGCTATGATCTCTGAGACCTGGGAAGGTCATTTTTAATGTGCAAGAAATAAGAATTTTGAGTTGTACAGAATTTTGAAATTTTTTCCTGAACCATGCAACTCAGAAGTAAAATGGTTTAGATGAAAGTGAATGGAACAAGAAGAAAGGGGACCTTGAATTCTAGTTCCATTTCTACCAATTTCTAGCCATATGGTCTTGAACCAATTAATTAACTTCTTTTGAATCTCTGTTTCTTCATCTGTAAATACCATTCAAATTGGTATTATTTGCTTACTGAAGGACAAAGAGATGTTTATGTACCACACTCAAAAGGTCAAACAGATGGGATTATTTTTAGATTGAAAGTGCATGTGTAGGAGTCATGCCTTTTGTGAGCCACATAAATCCCATGGGGTCTGGTACCTGGCTGTGTACCCAGCAGGAACCCAGAAAGTCTTGTGATGGTGGTAAATATGATACCATTAAATGAAACCACATTTAACACAAAGGAAAACCTAGGACAAAACAAAACAAAAATCTAGACTTCATCTCTAGGTACTTTGTGTGACTTTGGATAGGTCACTTGACCACCATCAGGTCTTTAATCAATTCATGAAAAGAAACAAATGCTAACAAAGGGAAGGAAGGTATACAATAGGAACAGTAGAAAGTATTAAGCCAGTGGGTGGGGAGTCGAGTACTCTGAAATGCATGGCATACTGAAATTCCTGGCTTCCCACATCCGTTCCCCTCAAAGGGTTAGACTTCCCATAAAAGTTGTTGCTGGACAATGCTGGTCGAGACATTTATGGGAGTTGTTTAGGATACGTGGTATGTTTGAATTGGGAGCGAGCTTAGAGATATTTTAGGCTAACCTCTTAATTTTATAGATGGGAAAGTAAGTCTGACAGAAGTTATATGCGTTCTTCAAAGTTATGTAATTTATGAGAGTGCTAGAACCAGATATGCAAGGCTGTGGGCCATTGGGGGAATTCATCTCCCTGTTCTGACCTATTTTGCTTATTTTTAAGTTTAAGTCACAGAAGATAATTTTATTTTCTTAATGTCTTAGTTTTAGATGGCCTTCTTAATGTCCTTTCATTTCTTGTCAGTAGAAACAAAATGAATCTAGAAAGGAATTAATTTCATAATCATACTGCCAGCCAGACACTGCCCATTGTTGGGCACTGGAGTTACAATCTTGCTACAAGGTACTTGCTGCCCTTGAATAGATTTCTTTTTCATTCCTTCACTTTTTGGTGTTCAGCAAGCTGCTTAGTCAGGAAAAGACAACACATTGTACAGATATATGCATATAGAAAAAAGAGGAATTTAATTCGTGACTCATTCCTACAGTGGCCTACATTTAGCACAGGCCAAAAAACAATTTCCTCCATTGGACATTAACTGCTGTCAATTTCTTCTTTCATTAAATAAACAGATTCTGTCTTAGAAACAGACATTTTCTCTGTTAATGAGTTTTTTATTCCTTGAAAATCTTCTGTTTAAATTTGAGACTAAAGTTAGAAGGAGTGGCTTCATAGGTAGGAGGGAATGGAAATGACAGTAGACCCTACCTCCCTCTCCATCTGTGCATGGATGTGGAAAAAGGCTTAGAAAAAGACAGTACTTGGGGTGCCTCAGGTGACTCAGTTGGTTGGGCATGAAACTCTTGATTTTGGCTCAGGTCATGATCTCACAATTTGTGAGTTTGAGCCCTGCATTGGGCTCTGCACTGACAATGCGAAGCTTGCTTGAGATTCTCTCTCTCTCCCTCTGTCTCTGCCCTTCCCTGTACCCCATCTCTCAAAATAAATAGATGTTAGGAGAAGAAGAAGAAGGAGGAGGAGGAGGAGGAGGAGGAGGAGGAGGAGGAGGAGAAAGCAGAACCTCTAATAGCACAGTCCAGGAAACTGGGTGTCAAAGTCAATGCCTATGTCAGGAGGGCTGCCCCTGCTTCTTGTAATGTTTTTTTGTGAATACTTGCTTGGGTGTAAGACAAGTCAAAAAGAACTGATGATATCTCAGCTGAGAAAGAACTTGTAGCCACTTGTATAAAGTATAGCAAAGAGAACTGTCTCTTAATAATAATAAAAAAAGATTTTCATTTAGGTCTGGTCTAGGAAACATTCCCCCTTGAAGCCCTTTTTTTTCCCAAAAAGCAAAGTGACCTGAAAAAAATTAAATGAGCAAAGTGATGGCTTTCTGTGTTCTTACTGATCTCCATTTATATTAAACATTCCACATAGATTCTGCACGAGAGGAACGATTAACTGAGTCCCAGCTGACACAGGAAGATGCAGGACAGGCAAATGAAAGTTGTCCCAGGGGAGCAAATAATCTCTCCAGCCCTGAAATGATTTGCATCTGTCCAATAGTTTGATTCTCCCAGAATCAGATTTCCAAAACAAATTAGTCTGCCTCCCCAAAAAGAATACTAACTTTCCAATTGGCAATTACAAGAATGCCCCAGTCTGCATGCATCTGATGAGTGAGTGTCTAGGTTATGGAAACAGAGATACCCTCTCCCACTGTGATGTTTGTGTTGATAGGCTCTGTTTGGAAGATTAATTCTCAATGTCATCATTTGTGAATTACAGGGAATGGAAAACAAGAGGAAGAAAGCAGTGAAGGATGTGCTAATGTTATGATGTTTTGAGAATATTTTCAAACCCTAAATTCTTCTACCAATCAGACCATGTCATTTAAATTTAAGACTGTAATAACATTGGCTTACAGAAATATTTTCACTTGCGTGACTTCACCCATCCTTGATGCCAGAGTTCAAAAGGGTGTGTAAATAAGGTGGGGGGTACTGTATCACTGACCACCACTACCACTAACAAAAACAGCTCAAAACTGTTAACACATCTAAGCTGAGAATGACCTGAGGCTTTTGAAAAACACTAATTAGTACAAAAATGACTTTAAAAGCAATGCTGAAAGAAAGAAGAGTAATGGGGACCCAGTCACGACACAAATAGTGTAACCTTAACAAATGTCACAGAGAAAGCAGAACTACTAATTGGTTCTATTGACATTTTCTCTATCAAGGATCTTCACATCAGAAAGGCATGAACATACATCGCCATTATGATTCTAAAGCCTTAAATTGGTAATGTGATGATAAGGAAATATCTGTCTTTTAAAAATCATGTTAAATATCTAAACTCAGAAAAGTACATTTTTAGAACACAAAAAATTTTAATATTTGCTTACACATTGAGTTTAGTATGGAAAACTATGGAAAATGGGAAGTATGTTCCCCCCACTTTATGGCAACTCCAGAAAATAAATAGAAGATGGTGACCTTCATATTATTTTCTAAAAACTTTCTAGAAAATTATACTAGGCCTATTAACTTGTTTTCATGCCTTGCAAGTATTGAGAGTTGAAAACAGTGATAATTAGAAATCAATCCTGACTTACTAAAATAATTAATGACAGGGGCACCTGGGTGGTTCAGTTGGTTAAGTGTCCAACTTCAGCTCAGGTCGTGATCTCACAGTTTGTGGGTTTGAGCCCCATGTCAGACTCCATGCTGACAACTAGCTCAGAGCCTGGAGCCTATCTTCAGATTCTGTGTCTCCCTCTCTCTCTCTGACCCTCCCCTGCTCATGTTCCTATCTCTCTCTCAAAAATAAATAAAACATTAAAAAAAAGAAAGTTAAAAAATAAATAAAATAATTCACGACAAAATTAGCTCATTTCCTTTTTATAGTCTTCAGTCCTCAGTGTGGAATTTAATGCAATATTAGGTTATACATGTAGAAATATGTGGAACTCAAATCGGGGGAGAGCATATTTATGTGAATCTCTAACTGCATGTTAGAAGTGTATAAAATAATCTATGCCCAATGGAGAGGGTCTCTATGGGAATGTGTCGAGAGTCTGTACTTGGATGTCTTTATTAACAAGTTCAGTGAAGAAGTAGGAGTAAGTCATGCTTATAAGTTCTGTGTCATTCACCAAACCGGGCAATTGGCAGAGTCCACACTGTGTGACTTGTGCAGGGCTTGAGGCTCAGAGGTGAATTTGAATTCCAGCTCCGTTTCTGCCTCCAGTTGTCTAGCCCTTGACCTCCAGTTTCCTCCTTTGGAAAGTAACCACCTAGTAAGGTTGTAAAGATCACATGAGTTAATATACATAAGTGCTGAACTTGATGCCTGGAATAAGTAAAGGTCTTTTTCCCTTCTCTTTCTCCTCCCCTCTTGCTTGGAATATAGGTTTCTAGAATAAACTTAACTGAGTCAGCCAGTGATCTGGTTTATACAGAAGTAGAGTCTTTCTTCTTTTTAAGATTTTTTAGTGTTTATTTATTTTTGAGAGAGAGAAGGGAGAGAGAGAGAGAGAGACAGAAAGAGAGAGAGACAGAGAGAGAGAGAGAGAAGGGGGGGAGGGACAGAGAGAGAAGAAGACACAGAATCCAAAGCAGGCTCTAGGCTCTGAGCTGTCAGCACAGAGCCTGACAAGGGGCTCGAACTCACCAGTGGTAGATCATGACTTGAGCCAAAGTTGAACACTAAAGTGACTAAGCCCCCAGCCATCCCTACAGAAGTAGAGCCTTAAATAATAATCAATGCCAGTGCATGAATATCTGCATCCCTTACATGCCTGGTCAGAGAGGACTTTATTGTTTGTGAAGGCTCAATTCAAATATCACCACTAGTAGTTTCTGGCTTATTTTTCAGTGTTTTTACTTAGTAGAAATTCACATAAAATATTTGTTATGGGCTATTTCCCCTTCTTTCTACACAAAAGTTAACATAACTTTCTTTCACAAACAGTGCCATATACACTGTTAAGCACTTTGCTTTTCTCACCTAACAGTATATCCTGGCGATTGAAGCACTGACAGTGTGAGTTTACTTTCTCTGTAATGGCCCCAGTCACTCAGTCTAGGTTTTGCAGGGTCAGTAAGAGTTTGACACGCAGATGGTAGAGGGAGTGGCTTTCCAATACGAGGAAACTGAATGTATCATGACTCAGTTATTCAATTTGTTCGACAAACGTTAATTGCTAGTTTATATGTGCCAGACCATAGGCTGAACATTTTTTTGTTGTTATGTCCTGTAATTCTCATCATGACTTTATGAGGTAAATAATATCATTTTGCTCATTTTATGGATGAGGAAGTTGAGGTTAGAACAACGAAATACATCATCCGAGGTCATAAAGTTACTTAGTAGGAAAAGTCAGCTTCAGAGCCAACGTGTTTTATTCCAGAGTCATGTTCTTAATCACACATTTGACTTCCGAATACAGGGCAGGAAATGATCATCAGAGAGGGTTCTAGATGTGGGGACGTCACTGTCAGTTTCCCTGGTGGTATAGGTGTGTGACGTGTGGAGGAACTGAAGCCCTCCCTCTGTTGAAGCAACTATGAGTAATACTAGTACTTGTACTGTAAGAGCAAAGTAGGAAAGGTGGCAGAAGATGGACAGAAGTTCTTGTCATGGCAAGGGATGGAGAGCCTAGCACTGTAAGGCTGAAATCTTATTTCTTGTGCGTGGGCCAGATCACAGTGTGAGCTTCCTCAGCCCTCAGTGGGAACCTCCTGGAGAAACCTGTTTTGTCAGGTCCCAGGGCTGGAACTGAGAAAGAACACAAAGTGGGGCAAGGCCGCAGGCTGCATAGGGTAATTTATCACAGGAAAACAATTCCAGTTTGGGGGTGACTGGCATCATTCCTGATACTCATCTGGATCTGGCTTCTGCTGGGTTAGGGCAGCATACTCCATGTGGGTCTATCCTTTCAGCTGAATACCAGCTGTGATGGTAATGTAATCACCAAGCACCTTCATTTTTATCCCTCACTGTCTCTTTAAATTGATTCAGTGGGGAAAGCTTTTCCCTTTAGAGTGATTGGTAACCTCCATGAAATTCTGTGGTCACACTGATCTCTATTTTAAGTCACCAAACATTGTCACATTGGAACCATTAAGATGTCCCACATCAAATCCGCTGTGAGGTGAGGGGGAGTAAGGTTGGCCTCTGTGATTTTTGGTCAAGTGGTGACTTCCCCTTCTCGTCCTTCTTTGGTTAACTTCAGATTCTGAATCCCTCCTAAACTGGGGATGAGGGAAAGTGGAGAGAAAAAGGCAGCGAGGAAGTCCTCACTCACCTGATACTCTCCTGATGATCATGCGTCCCCTCTCCCTGAACTTGGCAGGTTGGTGAAACCGTCTCATTCTATCATCAACACGTTTGTGCACTTGTAGGAGACCTTCCTCCTCCCCTTACCTCCAAATCAGTGAGGGTCTCTCACGTGCACGTCTGCTTGAGAAGGGCAAGTGCAGTTTGGCTGAGCCTGATTCCTTCCTCGTCTGTAGTTCCTATGTATGCAGCATAAGCTCCAGCTCCTGCCAGCATCGCAGCTTCTGGACACTGCTGCAGAGATGTAGGATAGCCCTTTGCTGGCTCAGCTCTGTGCACACTTCCCCTGCATGGCTTCCCTCAATCCTCACACATTCCTGGTCAGGCCCCATCTCAGCACAGCAGGCTCCTTCGTATGCCTGTGGATGACCAGCCGATCTTTGTCCTTTAGGATTTTGGATGGGTGTCAGACAGCACCTAAACTGCCGAGGACAAACATGTAGTCCTAGTGAAGTTGCTTTTCCTCAGTGTGAATTAGAGGCCAGCATCTCCTACTGCTGTCTCCAGAAAATTCTTCCTTGAGTCATTACCTTGAAGCTGTCTGGCTAGATTTGAAGCTAAGGCTATCTGCTGCTCTCCCGGACCAGAGATGGGGTGGGAGTGACTCAACAAAGACTCCTTCAAAGACATCTTCTCCTCTCCAAATATTCTCTTCTAATCTCCAGCTCTTGAGTCTTTTATACTTCCATGTGGTTGAGGCATCTAAGAGTCTTCTCGAGTAGATCTTAGACTCTCACTTTGAAATACTTTTACTTCTTGGTCTATCTCCCTGTTTTGAAATATGCCTGGGTTGAAATTCTATTTTAATATCAGATACATCATAGATATTATTACCAAAACAACATTTTCCCTCTGCTTCAATCAGTGTTCTTTTTAGAGAGCAAATATGACTCTCCTGCTTAGAACCCCTCTGTGAGGACCTCTGCAATGAGGCAGATGGACAGCGCACAAGCAGACAAGCAAGTCGTTACAAAATCGGATGCATAGACTGCTCAGGCAGAGAATAAAGGAGGAAGAGGTGAGTGGGGAGGAGTCAGGCCCTCTGCCTCCCATCCTTAGAGCAACAACAAGTAACCAACAGGGTTAAAAGCATAAAGTCTGACCCCACAGTGCCTGAGTTCAAATCTCAGCTCTGCCACTTACTAGCTATTTGGTCTTGTGAAGTTACTTATTCTTTTGGTGGGGCCCCGGTTTCCTCATTTGTAATGGGTATGATAATAGTTCCTGCATATACTTGTATTAAAGGAGCTACTGTTTTTGAAGGGATTGGAAAAATGCCTGGCATACAATAAGTGCTAACTAAATATAAAATGTGCCCCCCAAACCCCGCCTTTGTCTACAAGTCTTAAATCTTTGCCCTGACTGATTCAGAATTACCTTTCATTATTCAGCTTAGCTATCCATGGCCTCTTTTGAGAAGCTTTAAATCATCCTCAACCTTCATTCATGCATTCCTTTTATGTGCTATCAAAATGTATATATACATATCAATATCACCACAATTACCCCACTGTATTGTAATTGACCTTTTCTCTCCCTAAACTAGAAACACTTTGTTGAAAGCAGGGGCCATATCTTAATCATAGTTGTACAACCAGACTATTGGATACCCATTACATACGTGATGAATGGATAAATAAATAAATGGGCCATGGAGAAATTCTGATAAGGAAAATGTTACATACTTACAATTTGATATTTTTCTTTCTATGAAGGTAAGAAGAGTCTTCTCCAGTTGGTTAGATATTTCACAGATCCTACTTGACATCATTGTCTCCCAAGTCATTTGTAAAAGAGGGAAGAGGAGGTGCATCTAAAATTTCGATTTATAGGTTGAGTTTGATTAATTATTCCACTTAAGTATTTCTTTCCCACTTTCATCCAATATATTGAAAATAGGATTCAATTCAACAAACATTTATTGAATGTCTTTCTGGGCAAATCAGCATGAAATATAGAAACACAAATAAAATATGGCCCCTGACATCTAAGAGTTTATAGTCTGGCAGAGAAGACAGACACACAGAGACTCATGCAAGGTGGGATATAACAAAAGTGAAAGACTGGGGGTTCTCAAGAAGATAGGTTTCATTTATTACTATTTCTTTTTTTAAAATGTGGTTTTTAAACGTGAAGTCTCATTCCCAATTACTTTGTCGCTTTTTGATTTGTTAGTAAAATTTTTCACCTCTCAAAGTTACTGTACTAACTGAGCCTGAGGAACAATTTGTTAATGATATAATTCACACAGAAACCAAAAGACTATTTTACAACAGCCCTTGGTTTTCCTTTTTCTAAATGCAGTTTTCTCATCTTTTGAATGGACCTAGACTAATTTGTATAGCATTTGGGGTCCCAGTACAGGATATCAATGGTGTCAGTGTAGAATTTTAGAATTTAGAGCTCGAAAGAATTTCAGAGGTCATCCAGTATAAAGTCTCCTTCCCTCTCTTCTTTCATTCTTTCCTTCCTTCCTTCCTTCCTTCCTTCCTTCCTTCCTTCCTTCCTTCCTTCCTCTTTCTTTCTTTTTCTTTCTTTCTTTCTTTTTCTTTCTTCCTTTCTTCCTTTCTTTCGTTCTTTCGTTCTTTCATTTTATTATTATTATTATTATTATTATGTATACATTTTTCCCACAAAACTCTGAAATTGGCCTAACATGATTAGCAAAGCTAGTCACTAGAACAGGCAGAAGAAACTCTGACATCCTGATGCCCAGTACAATTATTTTTTCCATGAATACCATGCTGCTTTTAGAATAATTTTAGACTATAGGAAATGCAGTCCTGGGGAAGATATTTATAACAAGTCTCTGGCTCATTTAGCATGCTGTTGTTTGGGATAGCCAGCTGCATACTTTGTTCTTGTCGGTAATAAATTATTTCCTGGCAATTTGGTTGACAAACGGGATCCCAGCCCTAGTGATTTGCACACATCTTTTAAAAAATGATCAGGTTAACTGTTCTAAATAGACTTTTTGTCCTTCACTTATCTTCTAGCATGAAGAGAAGGAAAATTCAAGATCTTCAATAAGAGTATAAATCATACGCACAGACAGAACTCTGTTTATATAACATTTAGGGTGAAGGTACCCTTTTATGAGCTTTTGTAATCCAATGGAGATTCTCTGAAAGCCACAGAATCTCTCCTCTGCCCCGAAACTAACTAAGTTTGCTTTTCTAACTTCCCAGTGGGCTAAGATACAAAGTATGTGGACATTTCAAATGTTTGAAAAGCCAAACAGAATCAGGAGGTGGGGGTGGGCAGGGGAATGTAGGGGTGGCCAATAAGGATCCTTTTACAACTCATATTTCTCTATTGAAAACTGAGATTTCTAGTCACATCAGGGCAGAATAATTGATAGCAGCTGCAGATGGGGAGGTTTGAGCATGCATCTCCCCAGGCAATATTTTCTTTGGTATTCTCTATGGTATGCTGTAAAGTATAGCAGTTCAATATTGAACCATAGTTTCTCTAGTTCACTTAGTAGACTAAAACTATTCATTCGTTTTTCTTCACAAAACTTATCTTATTCTGTATTCTTCCTTAGCCCAACTCTCGTGGCCATGACAGTTGTCTGTCATCAATATTAGTGATTGTCAGGAATACCTCTGACAATATGCAGTGAGAAGCAGAAAGTAAATGAACACAGAATGAAGACAGACTGGCACAGTCTTGGTGGCAAACTGACCTCTTGAAATTAAGAAACCCATTGGCCTGATTAGTGGATAGAAATCAGACTTAAATGAATGCCTTCTCCTTCAGCTGCCATTGTTAAAAGATAATGGAGAGTAGGTTGATCTTTGAGATGTTTGAAGATAGTAAGCAATAAGGCAAATTGAAATTTAAGATATAATAATGACTTAAAATGGTGAAAAAACAGTCCAGCATATTTATAAACTGATGAGTTGAAAGGAGGAAGAGGGGAATGTTTCCAGTGTGGACCCTCTTAAAAGGGTAGGTCTCTGATTTCTTTAATAAAATGTTTCTTTAATACCTTCACATCTCTTTCCTTTACTGAGGAGTTCTCATTTTAAATGCTCTTATTATGATAAATAAAATGGAAAGGGTATGAAAAAGCTATTAAAATAATTACAGAAGTTCAGGTCATAAATTATCTGTTGATTCAGGCTGTCAGCAGGTAAGTCAATTGCTTCAATGTTAAGACTAATTGGCTGGACTAGAGAATTGGCTATAAATGACTACAGACATCTGGATCAGATGTAAGCCATCAGCTTGGCCAGTGGGATCCAATCGGCAAGGGGCAGAGAAGGAAAAGTTTGGACAGGATGATAGTTTTTAAGTTAGGTGTTTCCCTCATTTGAGCAATAGACATTAAGTATTATTGAGTTACTGAAATGTTGTGGTATCAGTTTGCCCCTCTGCTGCAAAGCATGATGGGAGAAAATACAAGCACTATAAGAATATGGGATCACATGACTAGGTGCCAAGGTCTCTCATCTGAGAAAACATGGCCAAATCAAAAAGGTAGCTAGTGAATGTTTACCATGAACTGAGTTCATCAGCTAAGTAAACTATTTTCTGATTGATGTGCTCAAGAAAATGCCCATTTAACTAGTTTTGCATGCTCTCTGAAATACCTAACTTAAAAACTATCATCCTGTCCAAACTTTTCCTTCTCTGCCCCTTGCAATAACATAAGACCAAGAATGTTTATACTTCCATTTTGGCATGCATGTATTTATCTATCAGTGGATTGTGTGAAAAGAACCAGCAGGTTTTTAACATAAAGAATCTTCTGAGACTAGAAAAATGCAGGGTATAGCCAAACCTGGAAAGGAAGTCAGCGGCAAGGCACCCCTCTCTGACTTAACTCTCATATCTTTTTGACTCACTTAGCTATTGTCCTCTTTCTGTAAACATTGTTAATTGGTTAAAAAGCTATGACACCAGGACAGTCAACAACATTCTTCCTTAGTTATTCCTTTGGTCTCATGACCAGTGAAACATTTTCAATGTGACAACAGGATTATTCTCTTCTGGATAAAACCTCTAGTCCTTTACTTGAACTTCCTATAACTTATTTTAAATTTGTTTTTTAATGTTTTTATTTATTTTTGAGAGAGAGAGAGAGAGAGAGAGCGTGAGCAGGTAAGGGTCAGAGAGAGAGGGAGACACAGAATCTGAAACAGGCTCCAGGTTCTGAGCTGGCTGTCAGCACAGAGCCTGATGTGGGGCTCGAGCCCACAAACCGTGAGATCATGACCTGAGCTGAAGTCAGACACTTAACCGACTGAGCCACCAAGGCACCTCCCTATAACTTTTTATTTCAGTGGGGTAATCACTGAATTTTAAAATGATATCAAGCCTAACATCTTCTATAGTTGTGTGGAAAGGGGGTGTTCTGCAAAAATAAATTTCCTCAATATCTAAAAGTTACACTTTTCAACTTTAAAACTTAAAAAGAATCTGTTTTCCTTTGGAAGCATTTATAATTATATTTGAAAGCTTTCTGCTTTCTTAAAAATATAACATTTTATGACTCAGGTATAATTATAAATATAAATGTACCAATGCACTTATGGCCCATTAAAAGTATGGAAAAGTTTTGCCTTTCAATAAATTTCTATATCATCTCAAATTACTATATTTTATTTGTCTGCTTTTAGTAGCCTTTCTGTTAGCTATTTATTCTTGTCATTATTGGGGTGGTTTTTTGTTTCTATCCCTTTTCCATTTACAGCTACTAATCTGCCATGGGTCTAGGAAGTACATAGCTAACATTCATAAAATTGAAAACAGGAGAGTAATGCCTTATGATGTGAATGGACTTTACCACCTGGATGTCAGGAAAACTATTTTGGTTCCCCAGAGGCCTCATTTGCCTATGTAACTGAGGGACAAAAATTATTTGTTTTCAGATGACATTAGCTTCCTTTTGGGGGCAAATTCTTTCATACCTGCATAACTCTACCGCTAATGTTCCAAGTGCTTCGATACTCTGGTGAGTGTAGAATGAATATGCTTATGATACTAAGGGCTCTTAAAGGCACAGAAAATGTACATCCTGGCATATATTCGCAGGTGGATGTAGTGGGAGGAAAAAGTGTCCGAAAATAAATGCTAAAAAGGTTGGCACATAAATATTGTGGTGTATATATTTTGTTTTAATACGAACTTAGCTATTTTTAGTTAGAATAGGTCCAATAACGGTCATCTGCTTATTTGTTTCTGCTTACACATTCTAAAAGAGAGCATTAAGCCAAAATTCATTGGCAGAGAACATAATGAATTAAATGAAAAGTAGAGATGGACAACTTATTGCCATATAGAAGGATGTAAAAATCTCAAAATATTTATATATGGGAGGATTCCATGAAATCTCTCACTGAGTTATTAAAAAAGTGTTTACTCACTTGATTTAACATTTTCCCCTTTGCAGAGCAAATGAAACATTTAATGTGTGGTTTTGACTTATTCACACTTAATAGAACAGTCTTTTCATTATAAGAGAACACTTCATCCAAAAATCCTAGGATGCTCTGTCTGATGTCTAAGGCATATTTCAGACTTTTAACACGTATTTATATTCTTTTATTTCTGATCCAGGAAGCTTCTTTTAAGTAGGTAACAAGTAAACTTGAACTTTAATTGCATTTGAAATTAAGAGCATGTTCAAATGGTTGTTACTAAAGCTGAAAAACAATGTATCAAGTACATTGTTTCCCTTTTCAAATAGAAATTTTGCAAAATCGTTACTTAGAAAATTGCCCTAGAAAAATATATGTGAATTTGTATTCCTTTAGAAAATTATTTCGTCAAATTGATTCCTCCTAAAGTTTATTTTATTTTTGA